ATAACCACTGTAACATGGACTTTAGACGTGGTTTTTTTTCTAGGCCATGTTCATCTTAAGACCAGCCGTTTAAGGTATTGGCTGACTTCATAACACGCATCACATAACATAACTCATAACATATGCTGATCATATACCAGTGAGCTTGCACAAACATTTATATCTGAGAGTTGAACCCAAAATCTAGAAGTAATTAAACAGTGTTACATCAACAGACGTATGCGATAAACAAATACAAAAACTTGAAGGTAGATTGTGTTCTTTTTATACAAAATAATAACAGTGATTTTACTAAAACATTTTTTTTAGCTTTGTTAATTCTTTTCCTATATATTTTTTTATTTACCTTTTCTAAATATTTTAACCAGTAACTATAAGGCTAGGATATATTATGTAATAAGTATATGGATCATTACATACAGTTTAATTTAAATAAAATATGTATGGATATTAACTGACTGTGTGATTCAGTTTTTTTTATAGTATAAGGGTGACAAACTAGCACACAGTCCACCTGATGGTAAGTGGTTGCTGTGGCCCATAGATATCTACATATATCTTCAATTAAGAATCAAAATGCAGATGCGTTGTCACCCGTGAGGACTAAGATGGAATGCCTCGTTTCCAGTAAAAAGTGTCTCCGGTTCTCTACACTCACCATACGAAACACAGCAGCGTTAAGCTGCTATTTTACGTTGGTATTCTGTGAGAGCGTGGTCCTACCCCGGTCGAGCTAACCCATTCGTGCCACAACTATACTACTAATACAGCTGCAGCATGGCTCTACCACGTAAAAATAATTTAAAATAAAATTATTCGCTAAAATCTTACAATATAATTTTTGTACAGTCGAGCCGACCCATCCGTGCTACAGCATGATTAGCTGCAGCATGGCTCATTATACGCTAATATTAATATAATTGTAGGGCTGCAACGGAACCCCCACGTTTGATCGTTTGACAGTAGTTGATAGTAAATGATAGTCAATACTGGGAAGTTGATAATTGATAGTTTATTGATAGAACCAAGTAAATCTAATTTAATGATAGATGGGAAATGATACTGCGAGCACGCGCGACCGGTGTTGCTGGGCTCAATTAGCGCACTGATTCAAAATGCATTATTGTAGCGTAATATCGTAAACTGCTGACGCTACAAAAATGTACGTGCTGCAGCCTGTACATGCTCCCGGGCTGAAAGATAGAAAGTCATGATGATGAGATGAGTTTAAAACTAATAATAAGGTGATAAACATTTTGGCTTAAAAGATACAAATGATTGATTCAAAATAAAGACAATAACAGTGTATTTAGACACCCGTGTCCGTGATAGTAAGCACCGATTGAAGCACTGGTGAGGTGCCACGGTTTTCCTTTTGTTAACCCGGGTTCTTAAAGTTTTCATTTAATTCGGTAGTAATGTCACCGCTGTTACACTGCACTGCACTTGTTTGCAACTCTACATCTACAAATTGCACTCCACTATTACACTGCACTTCACTATTAAACTTAACTTCACTACAATTATTTTATACGCGATCGCGATCTGCGCGCCTCCGCGCGCGCCGCACTCGCCGGACACGTAAAATCCGAAGAATACTCCAGCAGATATAATCACCAGGAGGACGGTGTAATGGTGAATGCCGTGATATGATACACCTGCTGCTAACGGCTCAGTCTGTTTCATGACATCCAATTGTTCTCGTATGGCAAGCAGTTGTTCTTGGCTGATAGTCTCCAAGCTCGTGCTGGCGTTCATCTCCGGTATCGATATATTTATTAAATGATTTATCGAAGCAATCTTCAGTATAACAATGTTGGGCTTTGAATTGATTTGAGATGCATCTGGTTTGTATGCAAAAAAATGGAAATTGGATAAAAATGGAAGCTGATTTGATCAGGCAGTCCTAAACCAGCGTCATAAATCCGGCGTCACTCAATTGGATAGCCGTAACTTGATCTTCGCATAACAACTTGAAGTAGCATTTATTACATCAGAAATAAAAGTAGTTATTAAGCTTATTTGTTGCAATGAAAATATTTTTGCAGGTGTTAGTGATTGTTCTACAGCTTCCAAATTCTTCATCGTTCTCACACAAACTCTTGTCATTGATCATATGATAAATAGGCTTCTTGAATCGACACGACACAATGTTTAAATCGCGATCAATGCAGTCATGTATATCAGTAAATTATAGCGATATAAACGAATCCTTGTTTAAGTTTAAAGCGAGGTATTCGCTAATAGGGACAATGCTGATCATGTTGCTACCCGATTGTTTAGGTATGGGAATTGCTTTAAGGAATTCGTAAGCCTCTCGTGCTACTAATGGAATTCGGATTTCGAAAATACGAGTAAGAAATAACTTCGATAAGCGTGCTTTTACATTAAGTAATTTGTATAGATTTGAATAATTTGCGTGATCGGAAGGTAGTGATAGGTCTTTAGGTATCTGAGTAGAGATGGCACTTAATTTGTGGTTGAGTTGCTTGGGGGTTAATAGATGAATATAATACTTCCCGTAAAATACGTCTGTCATAGTTTCGATAAGATAAGTTTGTATTTCTTTTAACTTGTTCGAAATGTTGTTTAAAACTATAGCGGCCAAGGTAAATTCGTTGATATATGAGTTATTTGAGACTTGTGACCTTAGTGCGTTCATCGATTGTTCAAGTTCAATCATCTTTTTTTTGATAGTTTTATAATGATTTTCCATGATCGACTCTACCATCTTGATGACATTGAACTCCGCTTCTACGACTGACGTTTGATTCTTCCACAACTGGGCTAGGTATCCTTGGTTTTTTCTGATTAATTCGATATCTTCTTCATACTTTTCAGCAAAGTTGCTGTCAAGCACCCGAAACAACGCGTTTGCGATATTACCTACACCATTGATGAGTCCCCTGCGCTTACGTGTGAGTAGTCGCCCTTATCTTGCAACATGATATTGTAGCGCTGTAGTTCCGAGTGCTCGTGTTTCAATTGATACATGACACCCCCGCAGTGTGAATGCTCTCTTATCTTCGAACAGATGGTTTCTAGGTATTCCATGTACTTCGAGGACGCGGCGGTATCTTCCCAATATGGGTAGAGATCATAATAGACAACGAGTCTCAGCTATCAATTGCATGTTTACAATTTTGTCGTAAAATAGGCTAGTATTATTTTGTAGTTTATTTATAGTATATAGTGCGCTAGTATATTAGTTAAAAGGGTCATAAAAAATAATAAGATAGAAATTGCAACTGTAATAAAACTGTATCTTCTATTCCTTTGTTTTATCTTACTCTTCGTTGATTTCTCTTGCTTTAATTTTTGATCTTGTGTTTCTTCTGAGATGACAGGGAGTATTGATACTTTGATAACAGGTCTTTTCATATAGCCATTTTTGGTTTTTAACGTCACAACACGCACGTAGCCATCATTAACAGGGTGCGATTCGACCTCCCTACCGAGGGCCCACTTGCCTGGAGGACGGTTACCATCATTGATGAGTACGACGTCATTTAATTTGATATTTTCTTGAGGTTGGCGCCACTTGCTCCGGGCTGACAGATTTGTTAAATATTCTTTTTTCCACCTTGGAATATTTTTTTGTGTTAAATGCCACCTAGTCCTAAGATCTCGCTCCGTCTCATAAATTGATAGAATCGGACCGCTTAATAGAAAATGCGACGGGGTTAAATAATTTAAATCATCAGCGTCCTCCATCAATGGACATAGTGGTCTCGAATTTAAGCAAGCTTCTAATTGTGCTAGCAGCGTGCTGTACTCCTCGTAGGTGAGATTTTGATCACCAACCACCCTTCTTAGATGATATTTGAAGCTTTTCACGGCTCCTTCACAAAGACCATTAGCTGATGGCCACGAAGGTGCATTGAAGTGCCAATTTATACCCATCTCGGACACTTCTGAGAGAAACTCATCACCAAATGTTTTGAGAAGCTCTTTGTATTCCTGCTGTAAAACCTTATTGGCTCCTATGAAGTTTGTGCCATTATCGCTATAAATGTGATTAGGTTTGCTACGGCGAGGTGTCATTCTCCTTAACACTGCTAAGAATTCAGTACTCGTCACGTCAGACAACAACTCCAAATGTACAGCCTTTGTGGTCATACACGTGAACACAACGATATAACCTTTCGTAGTTTTGATACCACGGCCTAAGTAAGCCTTGATAAACACATGGCCCGATGAAGCATGATGGAAGTGGCGTGAAGAGTTTGCTCTAGCTGCTGAAAAATCACCGATAATTTGATAGTGTTTGGTTGGTTCGTGCCTTCTACATTTGATACAATGACGTAATCTCTTCTTCGTAGCTCTGTTGCCACCGACGATCCAGTATGTTTGTCTCAAGTTGACTGATGTTAGCCGAGCACCACCATGGTATGTCATTTACATGCACCTGATCTATAAGAAGCTCAGCAATGCGACTGTTGCCGGGTATAATGATAGGATTTTTCATGTCTGGGTCCAGATTGGCATTTCGCAACCTCCCACCGACTCTCAATACTTCATCTTGATCAATATACGGATTTAGTTCACAAATGTTGCTTTTCGATTTTTTTTTATTTCCCTGCTTCAAATCTGACAACTCTCTTTCAAATCCCGTTTGTTTTATATTTTTGATAATTAATAACTTAGCTTCTTTCAACTCTCGTAGGTACTGTTAAATAATTTATATTTTGTCCTTTTTGATAGTTAAAATCTCCGAATCCATGCTACTATTCTTAACCCTTAACCACCTAGCGTCGGTCACAGTGACTCCAGGCAATATATTTTTTCAAATATTTCCGTTATTACACGGGCCACGCGCCTGTGACTCTATGTACTTTTTCCTCGCCCTCTCCAGTTTTCGCCCTGCGCTCGACCAAGCAACACGTGCGCGCTATAAAAAAATACAGGTAAATATATTTCGCATGCGGTCATGGTGACCGACGTTAGGTTGTTACGTTACTTTTAGTGCTAACATTTTCGTGTTGTTTTTTAGGTTTATCATGTCTGAACGTGATCAAAATATCATTAGATGGTTAGAAGAGTGTGAATTAGATTCCGAGGATGAAAGGGACGTGCCGGAATTACCAAATGAAGACTGCAGTGATGTAGAAGATGTTCCATTAGACCACGTCATTGATGGTGAGTGTCAATCAGACTCTGAAATTGATGTTGAAGAGTTAAATGAATATGACGATACAAATGATCTGCCAGTTGATGATGCATCTTCCGATGATGATGTTCCATTGTCAAGATACCGGAACTATTTCGGAAAAAATCGGTTCCGTTGGTCGTCTCAACCTCCAGTTTCGCGATCAAGGACTTTGCAACACAACATCGTTCAGCAACCTCCAGGATTGAAAAGGAACTTCAGAGATGTTTTGAACAGTAATACAACATCATCCGATTTATGGCATTTATTTTTTACTGATGATATGTTAGAAGAAATTGTAAAGCATACTAACGAAAAAATTAGAAGGATAAGACCAAACTATCAAAACCAGACATGTGTTCAAGACCTTGACGTAATTGAGCTGAAGGCTTTTATCGGTATGTTGTACTATACCTCAATTTTCAAAGAGAACCACACACATTACACATGTTGGTACAGCACAGATGGTACAGGAAGAGAGATTTATCGTTGTATAATGAGTAAGAACAGGTTCAAAACATTGCTGAATTGCCTTCGTTTTGATGATACGAGCACCAGAGATGAACGCCGTAGCACTGATAAAGCTGCACCTATATCTCAGCTTTTTGAAATGCTGATACAAAACTGCAAAGAAGTTTGTTCAATTGGCAGTTACGCTTGTATTGACGAGATGTTGGTGGCTTTCCGTGGGAGGTGCAGCTTCAAAATGTACATGCCGAAAAAACCCAACAAATATGGATTAAAAATTATGTGCATGACTGATGCCAAAAACGGATACCTTGTGGATGCCTACATATACTTGGGAAAAGACTCAGATAGCCAAGGCTTGCCCATTGAATACCAAAGAGTGAACAAACCCACGCAAGCGGTTTTGCGATTGGTTGCGTCGATTGAAGGAACCCACAGAAATGTAACGACTGATAACTGGTTCACTTCGGTGGAGCTAATGAACATCCTAAAGCAAAAACAGCTGACACTTGTGGGTACCCTTAAAAAAATAAAAGGGAAGTATCTCCTCAATTTCTGCCTAGCCGTCATCGGGACGTTGGCTCTTTGATTTTTGGATTCACGTCAGATGCAACATTGCTATCTTTTGTACCAAAGCAAAACAAATCCGTGCTTGTTCTCTCCAGCATGCATCACTCACCAACCATCGATCCACAAAAGCAAAAGCCAGAAATTATTATTTTTTATAATAGCACCAAAGGTGGCGTCGATACATTAGATCAGAAATGTGCCATTTACTCAACTTCTCGACGCACACAGCGCTGGCCAATGGCGGTCTTCTACAGAATGCTGGATGTTTCTGCAGCAAATGCGTACATTATCAGCAGCATGAACCAATCTCAGAGAAAGGTGCCCAGACTGAATTTCATGAAACAACTGGCTGAAGACCTTATTACACCCCATTTACGACGTCGAGCGAACCAGTTTGGATTGCAAAGGGAACTTCAGAACGCTATTCGCCGGGTTCTCAAAATAGATGAAGAACCCAGAACATCTTCGGCAAACAGCTCTGACAAATTAGAAACACGCAAAACTTGTTCAACGTGTGACCCAAAGAAGAAACGTAAAACATTCCATTTGTGTTTTCAGTGCAAAAATCCAATTTGCGTTGAGTGTTCTCAAAAAATGTGTGTACGCTGCCGCGAGAAATTGTGAATGTTAGGATGTTGTAATTTTGTAACGATTGTGATTTAATTGTGCCAATGATAGTTTTATATAAGAGGTTATATATTTAAGTTACTAAAATATTTAAAAACTAAGAAGTCTCATTGATTGTTATTGATTAGAACTCAGTTTAATCGGAAAACCTATAATTTGTTAAAATATTCGTTAGTCAATTTTTATTAATAGTAATAAGAAGTAAGAAGTATTAATTTGAAGAGTTTATTGAAACAATTTGAAATAAAAACAACTGAATTTTTTTTTTGTAGTTTCGATTTTTGCTAATTTATGATTTTTTCACCATTATAATAGTACTTATATGCAAGCGGTCACCATGACCGACGTTAGGTGGAAGTGTTACTAGAATACACGTTAGGTGGCTAAGGGTTAACGCTTTGTTAATTGGACTATATTTTGATAGGATTTCTTAAATGATAAAATCAGGTTGATGTTGTGCTACAAATTTTTTTTGATAATTTTAATTCTTCGTTTGTTGAATAAGCGACCTTATGCCCTTGGTCATTAAATGTTGATAGTAAAGTCGGGCGCAGCTACCACAAGGTTTAATTTTGGCTTTGAGCAGTTAGACCACGACTAGCACAGTCGGCTGGGTTTTCTTCCAACTTAACGTACCTCCAGCAGTCAGGTGGCAAATTTTCGGTTATTGTACGAACTCTATTTGCCACAAACGTCTTCCATCTGGTTGGTTCTCCGTTGAGCCATCCCAGTACTACCATGGAGTCAGTCCAACCATATATTTTGATATTGTACCCACTAAGTCACTCTTGGACTTTACCCATTAGCTTTGATAGAAGTAGTGATCCGCTCAGTTCCAACCGCGGTAACGAGACTGTTTTGCTGGTTGGTACAAGCCTGGCTCTGCCGACCACCAACACTACAGATGATTTATTGCCCTGGCTGATACGACAATAGATCACACATGCATAAGCTCTGAGAGACGAGTCACTGAACCCATGTAACTCGATACTGTCGCACTCATGGATATGCAGCCATCGAGGTAACTGAAGTTTTTGAATATTGTGCATGTCCTCTCTGATCTTCTTCCACTCTACATATACTTCATTTGGTATAGGATCATCCCAGTTAATATTATCTGCTGTTGATAGTGTTTGATAGTGGCGATAGCCAACCGAGCGAGTCAAAAAGTTTTGATATGTCTGATAAAAAGTTTCTCTTTGTGACCTTGTTGGACCTCCGTCGGTTCTAAATTTGGTTGAAACACAAATACATACTCTTGTGGATTCCATCTTAACCCAAGGGTTTTTGTTTGCCCTGATTGCTTGAAATTAAAGTTGTAGTCCTTTGATAGAGCTGACTCTTCCTCTCTGATCAAGTCATCGGAGTTTGATCTCTATTTTCTCAAATGAAATCCAGCTGATTTTAATAAATTGATAAGGTCTTGTTGTAATTGACGTGCGGTTCTTATATCGTGACACCCATGGACCAGGTCATCCATGTAAAAACTGTTGTTTACGTCGATCGCCTGACTATTTTGATAGTTAGGTTGTTCATCACATGCAAGCTGTTTGAGAGTCATCATCGCTAGGAACGGCGCTGCTTTCGTTCCGTATGTGACCGTGGTAAGTTGATAGCCTTTGATAGGTTCTGAGGGAGAGTCACGCCAAACGACTCTTAATAACTGCTGATCATCGGGTTGAATCCAAATCTGCCTGAAAATTTTTTCAATGTCGGCTGTGAATGCAAACTGATATTGTCTCCACTTGATTATGAGAGACTGCAGATCCTGTTGGAGATTAGGACCACATTTCATGACGTCATTCAAGCTATTCCCCGATGGTGTTTTACACGAAGCATTAAATACCACTCTAAATTTAGAATTCATCATAGTCGTCAGCACGCACATGATGAGTTAATACACAATGCCGATGTCCCTGCGTCGGTTTACCGGTAGCTAGAATCATTTGTCCGATGGCACGGTATTCGTTATAAATGATTGATATTGATTTTTAATGTTTTCATGTTTTTTGAATGTGTTTTCTAACGATCTGAGTTGAGCGATAGATTTTAATTTTGACTTTCCTAGCTTATCCGAAAAGTTTGGGGCGAGGGGCAAACGTACTTCGTGTCGACTGTCTTCACGCCTGATAGTAGTAGACTTGTAATAGTCGATGTATTGTTGATCATCTAATGATAGTGTAGATTCTTCACTGATATCCTCTATATCCCGGAATTTTTGGATCTCCTTTAAGTCGTTAATGATCACGTTACATTGTAAAGTTTTGACGTTACCGGTTAAAATCCAGCCTAAACGAGTATTCTGAGCTATCGGTATATTATCATTCAACCTACAAATTCCCTCCAATAAAATGAAAGAATAAACATCTGCTCCTAACAGAAGGTCGACCGGGTGACTGACATTAACTTCGGGATCTGCTAACGTGATGTTATTTAAATATGTCCAGGACGGTTTTGAAAAGCTAAAGTTGGGTAAGTTTTTGATAAGGCTTTTCATTATGTATACCTCTGGTTCAAATTCAAAATCGTTATTTATAGCTTTGCATTTGATAGTCATGACGCCCTTACAATTGCTCTCCTTAGTACCTATTCCAGATATCACTCCCCGACATCGAAGTCGAGGTTGGTCGAGCAACTGAGCCGCATGTTCACTGATGAGAGAAGCTTGGGACCCCTGATCTATTAGAGCACGCATGTGACGCATAAAGGCAATTTTTGCAAACATTCAGTCTTGATACAGTTTTAAGCTTGAGGTGAGGTATCATGTTTAAAAACTGTCGGCAATAATAAAGACAATGTTTATTGGTTTTACAAAGTCAACACTTATTAAATTTCCAAGAAGTATTGTTATTCGCGTTTGATTTTTGTAAAGTGAATTTACCGTGCATCTGAAAGGCTTGTTTATTCAAGTTTCTTTGATACCTATCATTGAAATGTTGCGACGAATAATTGTAAATTTTTTGCAGAGGTCTCAGGTTTCTTTCGAGAAGATTCTAAACTTGTAAACTTGCCTTCTAAAAATGATAGAAATTCATGCAAATTAGGTAACTCGCGGGGCTCCTTGACTGACGCCATGTATTCGTTATGAGTTTCAGCATCGAGCTTATGCGAAAGGAGATGCACAAGCAATGAATCCCAAGAATAAACGTTAACGCCTAAATTTTTGATAGCATAACATACATAAAAACTCACGCCTGTCACCCAGAGGGATAGGCAGACACTATGGACTACCATTTGGCACGATCCTGACACACCTTTCTCAATTCCTCCACATCCATATACCTACGCATACACGCTCGCCGGTTAAAGGTACTCTTGATTTGGCCCATTTTCCATATATCGCCAATTTGGTCGATAAACATTCGCCTATGGCGACCCTTCCCGACTCTGCCATTCACCTCTGCAACATAAATTTGCTTTGTCACTCTTTCCTCATTCATTCTTTCTACATGACCAAACCACCGAAGCATTCCTTTTTTAATCCTAGTCACAACGCCATCTTGCAAACCACACTTTTCTTTTATCACACTATTTCTCACCCTGTCATTCAGATTCATCCCTAACATACTCCTTAATGACCGCATTTCTACAGCATTTGTTCTACTCTCGTGCTTCTTCTGCAACACCCAACTTTCACTACCATACATTAAAGTTGGTACTAACACAGCATTGTGAATTGCCATACGTGCCTTTTTGGACACATTCTGACTTTTCACAATAGGGTGTAGAGCCCCATTCACTCTATTTCCTGCATTCACTCGTCGTTCTTTATCCTTATTATATTTACCATCCCTGCTAAACACACATCCAAAATACACAAACTCATCTAATTGCTCTACCAACTCCCCTTCTATTCTTATTTCACATATCGTTTTACTTTTTCTTCTTTCAAAAACCATAACTTTCATCTTATTTGCGTTCACTTTCATTCCCTTCTCTTTTAATGTCCTGTTCATTAATGTAACCATCATTTGCAACTCTGCTGCCGATGACGCAAGTATGACTTGATCATCGGCGTACAAAAGGCATTTGATGGTTAACTCACCCATTCTTAACCCGCATTCTTCTACTTTAAAATTTTCCAAACAACTGTCCATAAATAGGTTGAACAGCCACGGGGAAGCCACACAGCCCTGTCTGACACCTTTATGGATGCCAAACCAGTCCGAGTAGTCCCCGTTGATCCTGACACAAGCACTAGAGTCCCTATACAGAGACTTCAATGCCTGTATCAACCCAGGGCTCAACCCAAATGAGTTCAGTGTTTGCCATAACACATCCCTGTCCACTCTGTCATAAGCCTTCTCCAAATCCATGAACGCACAAAAAACTTTTTGGTTTTTGGCCAAAAACTTATCCGCGAACATGCGCATTGAAAAGACCTGATCTGTACATCCCATTCCCTTTCTAAATCCCGCTTGCAAATCCCAAATTTTACCATCAGTTTCTTTCAGAACTCTTTCAATTAGTACCTTAGCATACAGTTTTCCCACAATTCTAAGAAGGCTGATACCACGGTAGTTTTTACAGTCCTGCTGTGATCCTCTTCCTTTATATATTGGAACTAATACGGCTTTGCACCAGTCTTCCGTTACCCGCTTAAGTTCCCAACATAAATTAAACAAGATGTACAGCAGGTCTGCCACCACTCCTTCTCCAGCACTTAGCATTTCGGGAGATACTCTATCATATCCGGCTGCCTTACCTGCTTTCATACTTTTCATTGCTTTCTTTATTTCATCTATACTTATATCTCCATCTATTTCCTCTTCTTTAGGAATTTCTATTTCATTTAATTCAAACGTCTTATCGCTCATAAACACGCTTTCAAAGTATTCCTTCCATCTCCTTAAACTCAAAACTTCGTCATTCAGAATACAGCCATTCTAGTTTTGTATAGAATTTATTCTAGACTATTTTGAATGTCCTCTGGCAGTTCTAATGAGTTTCCAGAACATTTTAATGTTTGCCTGGAAGTTATCCGATATTCTTCTATC